ACAGTCATCAGACTTCCCAGGAAGACAAGCACCTTTCTAGACTTTGAATGTGTCACCTCAAACAAGGCCACCACTCCATTGTTCCTGCTGGCATCACCGGCATCTGCCAGGTATGAGGACACAGCCCCTCACATGAAGGGGTGAGAAGCTATTCGTTACGTCACTTGGTTCCCAGGGAATAAGCAGTTGAACGACGATACTAGCTTGATGCATGATCTGTGTATAACTTAGAGAGGGAAGTGCCTAGAAAACTACTAGGGAAGGTCATTTGAAAGGTTTCGTAGATTGAATGCAAGAGATTTAATGTGGAGTAGGGATTTTTTTTTCAATCACTCATAGATTTTTAACTCACAGCAAACAACTAGAAAAGAAAATTGAGAGGGAGAGAGGGGATAAAAAGTGAAGAGCACACCCCCAAAGGTACAGCTTCCTGAGGGGTGCAGCTCAAGAGAAGGGGCACCCAGCTGTTAAACTACCGTGTAGAGCAACTTCTAGAACACTGATCTTCAACCCGCGTGCCACAAATTTTAAAGATCATTAATTATTTTCAAAGCACAGTAAGTTCAAAGCACAGTAAGTATATGTTTTTCTTTTGGATCAACATAATTTAAGTGTGCTGTGGAAGTTTAACAATAGGTCCAAGTGTGCCATAAGGTTAAAAAAAGGTTGAAAAACACTGTTCTAGGATATACATGGAGGCAGCAGATCTTCTGGAGACAACATAGTACCTAACTTCTTTTAATGAGGGTACACGAATCACAGAAGTCAAGCAGACTGGGAAGCCTGTTGATCAGCTAACAAAGACCAAATCTCCGAAGCCCCATCAGCCCCACAGCAGTTGCTCACAGACATTTCTAGGTCAGGAGCTGGCTGGATCAGAAATGCCAGTTACAGCAACATAGGGTGGATGTGCTTTCTGCAAATGTGAACGGAGGGAAAGACCTCCAAGCATTGTTTAGCTTCCGTAGTTTCTGCCTCTGTGGTACAGACCTGTGGCCCACACCTGGTGGCCACAGGAGACAGGTGTGTCTTAAGATCAAGTCACCTTAGCCTGTCAATGAATTCCAAATGATACGGCCCCGTTTGATATTTGGAACCAGACAGTTCCACAGAGGTGTTCTGTTCATGGGATCTAAACCAGGTGTCTCCAGGGGAACTGGCTGCAGTGTGGGGCACAGTGCCAGTTGTTTGCTCCCCTTGGTGGCCTTTCCCCCACTATCACTCATCCTAGGGTGGTCAGACAGAACACCTACTGGTCCCCCTCAAGATGACAAAGAAGATGCATGCAAGCTCTCAAAGATCTTGGATACCACAGTGTAGACATGTATTTGCCATTTAGCCAAATGGTCTTTATGAATTTTCCTGGATGACTTTTAACAGGGGTGGGAGCAGTAGTCTCTGAGAAGTATGATTTGTCCCCTGAGGTATATTCAGCCCCAAGAATGGCCACATGGAGAGAGTACTGGACCTGCATGACCTGGTTACATCCCCAAATCTGCCACTTACCAGCTGTATTGCTTTTGGCAAGTCACTTAAGGATTCTGAGCCTTGGCTTCCTCCTCTAGGATGGGGCTATTAATAACCTTCCTCTCAGGGCTGCTTTATGTGTGAAAGCAGTTTGCAAGTTCTCTTAGGAATTATTCTTTAGAGCTCAGAAACCCTTCTCCAGGTCTGCCCAAGGGACAGAGGGCAGGTTCCACCTATATGGCTCTGTAATTCAAAGCTGGGGTAGAAAAAGCCACGATCACGGTCTTCCCCCAAACTAAGGAAGACTGTGTAAGCTCAAAAGTTAGTAGTCCAGGGCAATAATGAAAGAACTTATACACTTACAGGTTATACTGTAACTATACAGGTTACAGTATAACCCTGTCCTCCAAGAATGACATCACCTGTATATAAGAACTGACCAGAAGTAGTTTTTACAGTACCATCATCTTTTTCTTTTGACTTTTTCCTTGTGAGAGCTGGAAATTACACACTGACACTTCTCAATATTTTTAAGGTCATTACCAGCAGATCAGATAAATGGAGAGTATGGTTGCTGGGGGAAGGCATGGAACTATATAACAACTGTCAGAACAGTTTGTCTTCCGAACAAGAAGGCACAACCAACAACAAAATCTCATAAACTCCAATGTCTGACCCTTAGAAAATCCTTCAGACTACTTTTAGAGATGTTTAATGATTTTTATAGTCTTAAGTTAGAAGCCAAAGTTTTTGCTTTTAAAAATAATGCACTATTCCCAGACAAAACAAATATAAATGGAAGGAAAATGAGAGAGGAAGCAACATTTTATTATGTACTACAAAGTAGTTCTGTGTGGCACCAAGGAGAATATAAGTCCCAGAGGTTGGTTCTGTTCTAGAGCAAGGGGGAGCATGGAAAAAAATGATTATAATGACATGGAGAAGCCAAGTAACAATTCAATTAGCTTCCCGTATGCCTTTTTCTTGCCATTGACCCTAAATATCTGGAAGCCATTTCTCCTGCTAAGGAGGAATTTCCAGAATCTATGATACTTTTTCCTAAATCAACCTGGAAAGTGTCCAGAATTCCTTTCCCAAATTCAGTCTGGGAATATGGACCAAAAAAGGTCTTATTCTTGAGAAAACAAGGTTAAAGAGAAAGGGCTAAATCAACTATGAATTGACCAAGAAGTTGGAATCTCATGGATGGCAGATGCATTAGCTTATATCCTGTTTTAGAATGACTTTGATTTTGGAAACATCAAAACCAGTACAGGATGCAAAGTAAAGAGGACTATCTGTACTCTTGGGAGATCTATTCTTATCTAGCTTTCCTGCCACTCTTCTGGGTCTGAGTCCTCAGGGGAAATTTTCTTTAGGTGATTTTAATTCTATTTACTTTCAACTCTAAAGATGAAGTTTTCACTGACCCAAGGCAGTTGCTAGGTTTCATTGAGTAGATTGAAAATTAGGTAATATTTTTGGGTCCACTGTTCAGTGAAGAAGCAAAAAAATGATGGGACTTGACTCTGTGTCAATAGATTAAAAACTGTTCAAAGAGGTGGTGATATCAAACCTACAGGGGCAAAGATTTAGATGGTATACCTGTTTTATGTACCTATAGAGCTAGAAGGAAGTGCTGTGAGCAGTTCTGTATACGGGCCAAGACTAAGAAGTTTTGGGACACTAAGCGATGAAAAGAATAACAGAGTTAATTCAGATCTTTGAAAGGCCCATGATTCTGTATTTATCTACAAACAGTACTAGTATTTGAGGTCAGCTATAACTCTCGAAATTGGGGTAGAAGACAACGTGGCACGATGTCACTTGACTCATTCTTAGTAGAACATTCTACTTCCAGGGTTAAGAACTTGAATTTAGAAGGTGAATTAAATGCTTGGTTGGCTGCATGCGTTTCTGACTGTTTAATAAAGTTTCTATTTGGGTATCTTAGGTAAATGTCTCCTGAAGTTAGGTAAATAAGGTCTTCTTTTGCCCCAAAGCGGATGAGTATCTTGGAAAAACTAACAAAGACATATGGCAGGGCAGGCTTAATGCAAGCACCATGAAATACTACAAAGGAACTAGCTGAGGAGTTTCCCATCCCTATATATAAATGTTTGTAAAATGTTAATTTTTATTTTATTTTTTAAATTTCAAAATATTATGTTTTTTTTTAGCAAAGGCTAAAAATAAAGATACTTATTAGCATGGTTAGAGACTGCTGTAAATAACAATCAGAAATAAACTGCAAAAATTTCAGTGATTGTTTTGGTAACTTCAAGGGGGAAAGGTCAAGCAGTTAAATAAAAATTCATCCTTTATGCAGCTCTCCACAAAATGTGGCACATACATGTTGTAACTAAATTAGAGTCTACAACTTTTTGCACATGGGCCGGGAAAGTAAAATAGAGAAAGGAATTAGTGTCTTTCTTTCTGCATTGAAGGGAAAATATTCCTGCAATCTGTGCTGCAAGAAAAACTCTAGTGCTGACTCCTCCACTGACAAATACTGGGATTCAACTATTAGGATTTAATACTATGATCATGGCCTGAGAGCTGATTTGTGTTAACATTCTAGAAAAATAATACTTTTTGTTGTCATAAAGAAAATTGTCTGGTTCCAATAAAATACCATGCTAACATTAAAAATATAGTTGTTTTATGGTCAACATTCTTTGATTTATTTTTAAAAAATCTTAACCTACTCTTAGAAAAATCACTTTGCACATAGCTGAGAAAATGAGATCAGTCATGACTGAATTTGCCAAAAAATCCGACCTGAGTGCCAATGAGAATCATTCAAATAAAACTGAAAGAAAGACTCTATGATCTCATTACACTTTATGAATAAACACAACCTGAAACATATGCCCTTTCAAAGAAAGATTTTAAGAATGACAGAAATGTTTTCTGGTAGGCCTCCCTTTGGTACGACAGTAATTCCATGAAGATCATAATGTATCTGTTTAATTTATGAAAAGTCTAAACACCGTGGCATTCATAGGATGAAGAGAAAAAATAAAGGAAGTGAGGAACATAGAGAAGGTAGTAAGAAAGGAAGGAAGGAAGAAGGGAAGAAGCAGGGAGAAAGAAAGGGAGAGAAAGAGAGAGGAAAAGTCCTCACCAAGTCCCAAGCAGCTGGAGTCAGATCAACTTTCTACATGAGAAAAGTTCCATCCTAGTTACTGTCAGGTAAATAACTTGACCTGAAATGGTTGGCTGCACCATAGTAAAGCCTCACTTAGAACCAGAATTTCCAACTTGTTTTGTCTACTGTTAAACAAGCAAACAAAACCAAGGCAATTACAAACATAGATATGCTGGATGGAAAAGGCTCCCTCTCTTCATTATCTGACTGAAACCAGAGTAAGATCAAATCGTAAACACTAGCAACACCCAATCTATCACCTTCTGGCATAAGAATGCTTTACTAATTTAGGGACCTATGAGATACGCTCAAGACTAGGAGAAAAGAAATATCCTTGGAATACATTAAGATGAAGAGTTCAGATTTCTCTGTGTTTTGTTTAACTTCTTGATGAGAACATCTTTGAGATTGGGGGTTATTACTTATGTTATTGACTCTTCAGTACAATAGTCATGTAGCATAAATAGATTATTTGAAAGTAAGGCACAAATACTGGCCGCTCTCCACTGTCTGCCCTGAGTGAGCATGTGAAGAGCGATCTCAGGAAATGGAGTGGAGGCACATTCTGCAGAGGTATATCTTTTTCAGTTTGCTGGTTTCCCACAGATGGCTAAAGCAGGGGTATGGAACATGCTGTCATATTTCATTCATAACACACATGTACTATAGCTCCAGGCAACAGATGGACAATCGCTTGTTTAAACTACAAATGTGAAATTCTAAGGTAGAATAGCAATATTTCTAGAAATGCATATGAAAAAATAAAGCCTTTCCAAGCCAAGAGGAATGGTGAGAGGCTGTGAGGTTACATCAGTGTTTCCCTGATCTCCCTAGCAGCTGCCATAATTTCCCCAACACCCTTCAAAACATGATAATAGAGGGATCAGGGGACAGCTGACAAAGATTTGACAGGAGAAGCCCAAACCATATCAAATAGAAATAACACTGTTATTCCTGGCTGGTTCACGTTAATAGGATTTGTACTAACTAGGAAAATGTTTGCAAGTTGTGTTTTTGGAGTCCTTCTGTATTCCATTCATTCTCTACTAAAGCCCAATGGAAAAAGCCCTCTCGTTATTCCCTTGGGCCCAAATACAGAACATTTGTTCATCTGGAGTTAGAGTTGTATATCCTTGTACACCTCACCATAAACATCTGTGCAGAATCTTTCACAGAAAACAGTTGTGGTGTCGGTAAGTCTACCTCATGAATCAGCATATATCCAAAAAAGTAATTTTGATCAGAGAAATTATGCCTACAGAAACAACAGTGACAAGAAAAAGAACCCATAGCTTTGAGCTGCAGAGAAGTCAGCATCTCACAAACTATGTCTTATGCTGGGACATGTGACTTAGTTTTGAGCTTTAAAGGCAATTTTGCTTGCCAAAGAGGCTCCATGTTGAATCAGCATGATCTGGGATCCAAACAATTAAGAAATAGTATTTTGAAATAGTCTGCAGAGCCCATGACCTAGTGGGTTTTTTTTCCTTTTCCATGTCTAGTTATACAGAATTACCAAATATTTAGATTCTAGACAATTATTTAAAAACAGTATGTTTTTACAAACTTTGTTATAGACTCTATGATTTTTTATTATTCATGTACTTAAATGATAATAATAACAATATATCAAAAGACAGTATGATTATAATCATTAAGGTAACAATTCTCTTTATATCTCTGTTATAGGCAAAATTTCATAGCACTAAAGCAGTAAAGAGTGACTTGGCATTGTTTAAATCAAATGATTAATAGAAAGGACAAAAAGCATATAAATCATACAGTCAAGATATCCTAGAATAAAATATGGTAGGATCCTTTCCTTAATATACCGTATCAAAGAAAAAAAATCTAAATCTAAATATTTCTGCATATGTATGTATGCACATTCATTATTATAAATGTTTAAGTCTATATTAAAAAGAGATTTACTTTAAATATCTTTGGTAAAGATACTCTGAGGTTATGTGATAAGAATGCACTATAAAGATTGTAAGCAAGCAGCATTCTGCTGGCCATGCCACAGTGATGGATTCGTGACAGCATTTCCTTATAACTTTTTCTTTTGGCATGTAAACATTCAGTTACATGAGGAATTACGTGTAACGAGCAAGTAGAATACTATTGCATTTTATAGTATAAATATTTCATAAATTCTTCTTTTTGCAAAATTTCTAATAATATGCTCACTTTCCAAGACAAAATCTATCCCTCGAAATGCTGGAGTCTTTGCTTTGGCCTAAAGAGAATATTTCCTAAGTAGTTCATAGAAAACAAGTTGCTGAATCAATTCAAGCAGATTACATTATCGCCTCGATTGTGTAAGGCTCAGTGTTCCTTGTGGTCATCAGTGCGATCTGGCCTTGAATTTGGAAGACAGGAACTCAAAGACACAGTTGTTATTGTATCCTACAACTCACATGCTGACCCTAAGTGAATCTTATTATGTTATACATTATGAAAAATATAAGATAAAGGATCAGAAAAGCAAGGTAAAAAACCCCCACAAAAAACAGTGGTGAAAGGAGGCTCTTATAACCTATAACTTTGGTGTTTCTAACATTTAACTGTTTAGTGACAAAAGCATGATTTACAGATTCACTTAGATGAGTGATGGTGATCACAGGCTTCAAGAATTTCTTATTAAAAACATCACTTTTATGATTATTTCTATTCAAGTAAAATAAATTTAATTGGAATTCCTGAGGTGTGGGTTGCAATTTAAAACATGTACCAATAATTTTTCATTTCTTTTCTGGAGGTTAAATTTAAAAATTAAAAAAAAAATCAGACTAGGAAATTCTTACTTTGTAATCATGAAAAAGATATTTGTGGAAAAGAACAAGGAACATAAGATGAAGAAAGGATATTTGTTATATCTGATTTCTGAAAGTGAGTATTAAGTACACAGGGGTTCATTATATTATTATTTATACTTTTTTTGCCTATTTAAAGTCCTCCATAATTTAAAAGTATATACTTGTGGAAGATTTGAAGAAAGGTTTGAGAAATCTCGATCCAAAACACTTAATTAGTTTACGAAATGGCAACTTGCCATTGCTAAGCTAGGTGTCTCTTTTTAAATGGAACGTGTTAGAACTTAATAAGTATGGTTTACAGTTGGCAAGCAAGTGTTTCACTGGCTAATAAAGAATTTGAATAAAGATTCCAGGCAGAGACTCTGCATATTTTTAGCTCAGAAAGACATTTTTTTTTCAGTGATTGTCTTTGAAAGTGTGGTGTAAATGTCACCAGGATGATATGAAAATATCTCCTGCAGTATGTAATTGGAGTTGCAGAAGGATTATGAGAATAATGAAACTGTGGTTTCACAATCTTTTTAAGCTTTCCTCCCTTTTAAAAGTAAACTAAACAAAACTGCACTATTTTCTTGTATTTGTCCTGATTTGCAGTTGGCAGGCAAAAAGGACTTGGGCCTGAGAAAAAGAAAAGAATAAAATTTGAACTGTTTTTGAACAGCTATCATCCTCTAGAGAAAAAAGTTAATTTTGATAGTTGTATTGGCTATTAGAAAAAAACATGACAATGATTTCTAAGATGAAAAGTGGGACCGTATTAGAAATGTTATATTGTATTCTAGACGAAATCAAGTTTGTCTGTATTATTATGCCAAGGTATTGTGGAAAAGGAAAATCTTAAGGTAATAGGCTGGGATAATAACGGGCTTTTTAAACATAGCCCCAAAATGCTTTTTTCAGCAGATCCCACCTGTAATTTCTTTAGGAAAAGATTGAAGCTCAGTGCTTTTTCACATGATACCTATTAGCCAGGAGCCAACTGTTTTCAAATGATCCCTGACGCACGGTTACTACAGACTGAATTTGGATGATTACATGTCAAATTTGACTTGTTCTAACTTTACGTAATTTACAACTTAAATTTTTTATGGTCTAACCAAAAAAAATGTGCATTTTTCCCACCAGGGACATGAGTGGCATAGAGCAATAGAAAAATACACCTTTCAGTACATAGCAAAAGAATGGCTACCCTTTATAATCACAGGCAACGTGGAAATGATAGGATGGAGACATCAAGCCTGAAAGCACCTGGGAGCTGGCAGACTCACCCAGGAAAAACTGTGTGACAGCAAATACCACACTAAAAAAAGCCATTCAACCAGATGAAAAGTGAGACAAACATAGGGATTAAAAGTTACAGGAATGCAGAAGTGAATGGGATGGAGCATAATCTGTGCAAAAATGTGGAAGTCCTTGGGAACAAAGGCCCATCAAGGTCCTACATGATTAAATGTGAAATGTGTATTTGGTGAGAACTTAAAAAACATCCCATAATTTATGTGTTTCTAATGAAAGGCGAATAGCAGATGAAGAACAGAGACCATCCCACAGTTTGATTGTCTTTCCTCTATTTTCCTAATTCTTTTCTTAGCTTTTTCTCGTGTTTCATTCTTCTCAGCACCATCCGCTAACTAGCTACACAGGCGACTAAATCTAAAGGTCAGTGCTCGCCTTGGCCGTCAACACCCTGATGCGGGCGGAATTGCAGGTCTTGCAAAGAATGTGTCCATCCAGGGGGTAGCAGCCTTGGTTATCGCCTTCAGAAAGGAGCCCTCCACAGTCCTAGAGAAAAGAAGCCAGAAGGAAATAATGTAAGTGACCATGTAAAGGACATGGGTGAAGACCACATTCTACAGCTTTCTGGTCTAGTGGTCATCTGTGCCCACTTTCTTTTCTGCTCATATTCTGCCTACCACCTCCATCCCTTCCCCCATTAGGTGACATAGTGTATCTTGAATCAAACTGAACTAGACATGGAGGACACGACTGCAAATGGAGTAAAATGGAGTAAAACCTTCCTGAAGGCACTTAGTGTGATGTGGAAGGACAGGAGGGGAGAGTCCACACGTGGTTTGCTTCCCCACCCAAGCAACAACAACAAAAGAGAATAAGAATAGATCCCTAACCACTAATTCATCTTCACCCTCTATCATTAGCTCATGGATCTCTCAAAAGGAATGCACAGGTGCAGAAATGGAATTTTTTGGCCATTTCTGGATACAAGTAAATGTGGAGTGATTTCTGCCAAGCAGAGAAGTCAACAAAGAGTTCTGCCTATTTACTGCAATTGTAGTTAAGTCAACAAAATCGTAAAGTTTGTGGGGAAAATGGTTTGCTGTACTTTCTGAAGAAGACAGCATGGTGGAGTGAGTGGCTGGATTGGGAGATGGCCCCCTGGGCACCACCCTTAGTTTGATTCAGGCTGTGTCACTGAATGCAGACTGACAGTCACTCTAAAAATAATTCCTGCATTTTCTATCTTACCAAGCTGTTGGGAGGATCAAAGAGGATAATGGATATGAATGTACTTTGAAAAAATGCAAAGAATTCCATAGTTGTAAAGGATTATACTACTGTTGACAGTACCTCCCAAGGGTCCACTTCGGAAAGTGTTACGTAACAGTTAAATGCTGGCCATTGTCTTTGTATAAAATGGAAGTTTCTTTGGAAAATAAATACGTAGTACTTCATCTGGTGGTGTGTGCTTGCTAACTTTAGCTCGAACTCTAAAAGGCCACACCTGCTGCTAACCTTGGCTCTGCTGTCTACCCCAGTGGCCAGGAGGTCAGTGGAGCTCATGTCTGCACTTGCCTTATAATGAAATTAAAATTCAAACAGGGTGTTACTCAGACACAACACCAGCAACGATTATGCTCCACAGGAAGTTTGGCTTTACCAAAAAGAAACTCTAAACCAAAGCTCTAGAAGACATTTGGGAAACTGAGCAATGGAACTAAACAAAACTGTTTTCACTGCAACAAGAAGAAAGAAGGACATTTCATGGCTGGTATAGTTTTATGTCTTTACCAAGCAAATATCTGTAGTCATCTGGACACCAGGAGCCCAGAGTTGCCCGCAGCGTGGGAACCATCAGCGCCTTGAATCTCAAGAGTGAAAAGGAGCTCACTAGAAGTGGTATGACCTCCTTGATGGGGAAGAGGAGGAGTGGAGAAGGAGAGACCCTTTCAGGGTCCGGGGCAGGATGAGAGCACTGGTCTGCTCTCTTCTGTGTTCTTCCC